TGTAATTTTTTCTATAAAAAAGGCAAAGCCTTTCCCACTACACAACAGTGGATGTAACAGCATGATTTAAAATTCCCCGTAAGTGGGCTGGCCCTGTGGCTTAGTGGTTAAGTGCGCGCGCTCCACTACCAGCGGCCCAGGTTCGGATCCCAGGCGCGCACCGACACACCGCTTCTCCTGCCATGCTGAGGCCGCTTCCCACATACAGCAACTAGAAGGGCTTGGGGGGGGGAAAAAAAGGAGGAGGATTGGCAATAGATGTTAGCTCAGAGCCGGTCTTCCTCAGCAAAAAGAGGAGGATTGGCACGGATGTTAGCTCAGGGCTGATCTTCCTCACCAAAAAAAAAAAAAATTTCCTGTAAGTTATGACTGGCTAATGGAGAAACTCTCTCTGAATAAGGCTTTGATGAGGGTGGGAAAGAGGGTAGAGCGTCCACATGGGGACTACATGCCAGGAACAGAAAAGGAGGAAAGGCTTAGGGGCTTCTTCTGCTTTGTGGTTGTGGCTGAGACTGGTCCGGCTTATGCATGTCTGAAGCAGCAGGACTGCAAGTTCACAGGCAATTGCTGCTTCTCTCACGGGGAATCTTCCTCCTCTGCACAGGGGACCTTGGTGCTCAGGCTGTGTCCATCTGGAGGCTTTTTTCCTACATGTGATCTCATTTAGAGATTTCATCCACTTTCCAGGCATCACGGTCACCTCCCTAAGAATGATACCCAAATCTATGTCCTCCCTGGCCTTGAGAAGATTTTTATTTTTAATCTTTGTGCTATTGCCCCGCGCTAATACATCATGGTAACAATAATTGTAAATATGCAATTGTTTAGTGTTGGTCTGTGTATAGCTCACTAATGCTTGGAAATTTATACAGACTAAGCCCTGACTGTTCTCCTGCATTTCAGTGACATGTCACATATTGGCTGCTGGACAGCTGACCCTGAAATGTCATTGTAACCACAAATAGCCTGCCTGTAATTGAACTCATCATGTCTTTCTCAAATCAACTTGCCTCTGACCTCTTCTGCCTTTGTCAGTAACATCAGCATTTACTGTCTCCCAAGTTCCAAGGTTTAGAGTCACGCTTGACTGCTTTGTCTTATGCTCTCACCAATTCCAAGACTAAGATTGTTCCTATTCATCTAGTGGAATGCCAGTATGCCATTTGTCCCTCCCTTTCAGTTAACATCCTAGTCCTACTTACCTCAAAGTAAGATACTTCCACCATATCACAACTTGTTCTCCTAAACCTAGGTTCCTTCCCCAGTACACCCTCAGGGACACTGTGACTACTCTGCATGTTATTTTTCACCGAGCCTATTTTATGTAGCAAATGTTGTTCTGTATTATTTTCTGTGGTGGAATCTTCCTTTTTTTCTTAAAGGAATATTATGTAGAACCCCATTATGTAAAAAAAGATAATCATGAAACTTCTCTGGTTGAAGATGGGCTAAAGGGAGCACAATCCCCTTGATCTGTCCTCAGGTTTTGAAGCAGCCTCTTTGGCACCAAGAGGCTCATTGAAGCGTTTTGAAAACAAGGATGTACAGAGTAGAGTTAAACCCCTTGGAAGGATATGCATGTTTTCTTCACAATGTCTTTAAAAAAAAAAACTAGTTGTTTTCAATCTATGCAAACCTTCCAACCTAGTTGCATAAATTCACACAAAATTCTTAAATGCACATTAAGCGTCATTCCCTCATCCCTGTCTGGGCTCATGGTTTTTCCCCTGCCTTGAGTGCCTGGGATGTCATCCATGCATCTCTGCCAATCTAAATTCTACTTTTCTCAGTCCCAATCCCACCTCTTAAAGTGTTCTCAGACTGTTCCAGTTTCAGCAATTTTTCTTTCTTCAAATTCCTGTAGTATTCTTCTTTCTAAACTCACCCTGCACTATCTTGAACTTTCATCTTTTCAGGTATGCACTCAATTTCTCCCACTAGATGATAGGGCACTTAGGGGAAGAATCAAGTCTTTTGTTGCTTTTTGTCATCGGCATCTAGTATAATACACTGCCCATAGTATTTGTTTAGTGGGCATATTTTGGTGATAACCCACAGCAAGAAATCATAACTATAGGCCCATTGATTTCACTTTCATTATTAGAAGTCTGAGTTAAATATCTTGTCTTTGAAATGTTCCTCCAGAGCAGTGCTTTTAAGCTAGGAGAACCAGCCACTAAGACTTTAATTGCAAGCATTACTTTTTTCTCCAATTACCATTAAGTCTACAACTACCTTCTTTGACTGTCTTTCGTTAAATTATGTTGGAAGTAGATTTGGGGAATAACAACAGATGGTTGCAAGTGGGAAGTTCTCAGTCTAGACTAGAAATAGTGCTTTATTCCATCCTCCAACATTGTAGCAAGGTCACACTTAAATTATATTAAAAAAATTACAAGAAACTTACATTAATAGACAAATCAAGCGGTGTCGCTTCTCTTTTAAATCCCTTTTAGCATGTTTTACATGGCCCTCAACACCTCTGGGTCCTCATCTCCACCACCCATCCCCCTCACTCACCACACCCTGGCCACAACAGCCAGCTTTCAGTTCCCTGGATTGCTCAACTCCTTCCCTCCTCCTGGCTTCGTGTGGTGGCACTCTGCCTGGACGGGCTTCCCTGTTTTTTCCTTGATTAATTTCTGTCATTCTTTGAGCCTCAGTCATCCTGTCACTTCCTTAAGAGAGTTCTCTGATCTCCCAGAATAGGTAAAGCTTCCTTGTTATATGCTCTCATATTCTTTATCACAATTGTAACTATATATTAACTGTGAAATAGTTTGAGTCTGTTGTCCTTGTCAGACTGTAAGCTCTAAGATGTCAAAGACTATATAAATCTTAGGCAATATAATATTTTTCAATGCCTAGGATAAAGCCTGATACATAATAGATGCTTGAATGAATAAATGAATGAGCATTTTAATAAATGAGTAAATGAGTGACTATCCTATAAAACTTTCAGAGAAACAAACCACTCTCATATTATTTACATTCACAGCTTAATTCTCCTTCTTGTCCTGCTCTGAATGGACACAGGCAGCACTGTCTGGGTCATGTGATTCACATACATGTTTTATAAAGTAACTTCAACTTTCATATAAACAAGCCCAAACAACCAAGCATTATGCAACAACCACTTCACTTGCTCCCAAACAGAATCCAACCAACTTAAATGACTGGGTATACTAGGAAAATTTAAAAATATTTGTTTAGTTTAAAATTGTCTCATTTGTGCATGTTAGCATGGATATTCCTATAATTATTTTTAACATTGTTATTTTGCAAATGTATACAGTTGGGTAAAAAGTACAAGAAAGCAGTCTTATAACTGTGAAATGTCTACATGTTGAAACATTTTAGTACATGATTATTACTGAAGTTAATGTGCTCTCTTTCCCTGAAGGCTCCAGCACCCCACTGATATGTCCATGACCTGTTTCTGTGTCCTTCCAGTCTTGAATTACCCTGCTGAGTCAGACAATTGGAGAACAAATTAGCACCAACTGCAGAGGAGATTTTTCTGATACAAAAATTTGACCTTAAAACCTCAAGTCTTGATATCTTTCTGTCAGGGTGCTAACTGTTCACCAGATTTGCACTGAACAGTCTAAGGTTTCACACACTCTCATATTTCTTCCACTAGTCTTGTCTTTTCCAGAATAAGTAAAAGATTCTACTGGTTTATCAGTTCCTTTACCAGGATAAATCACTATTCAATTAAAAGAAGGGGAAAGGGCAAATCTAATTCTATTCTGGAACAACTTTCAAATCCATGGATACTTCCACATTGTTCTTCTCAAACCCACCTTTTCTTGTTTTATCACCTCAGATGCAATCAGACAAATAACAGTATGAATAAATGCTATGTTTTGAGTGTAGGTGACAAACACACACCTAACTCACACCTAACACACACATCCGATCTATTTGGATGGCATCAAGTTTTTCTCTATAGTGACTGACCTGCATACTTTTAAATTATCAGACTCGCCATGGTAGGTGGCAGGAGGCTTCTGAACAGAGTTATTCACCTGGAACGCCGCATCATCCACATACTTGCTGCCTTCTACTCCTGCCAATATTTCGGTGCTGGAATCTGCTTCAGAAAATCTTTTCTTGATTGCTTCATTTTGCCTAAGACTATGCAAGAGCTGAGGATCCCTGTGGTGGTACCTGCCTTCGCTTTCCTGCTGGTTCCTTGAGGATCTCTTAATCGGAAAGGATTCTCTCGGCAGGGAAAGACTGTGTTCTGAGTAGCTTGTGCCTTTTCCTCTGCAGAGATTTAAAGAGCAACTCTCACAGTCAATCAGCTCTTGATGCTTTTCACCTTTGGAACCCAAATCTACCAGATCAATTCCATTAGGAGCGGACGACCCATCCAAGTTTCCATATGGTTTATTATTATTTCTCCTTCTTCTTTGAGACAGGAATTTAATGTTATCTCTCCTTTTTGCCTGAATCCAATGACGCTCATCTGTGGAAGATGAATCTGAAGAATCTGTGTAAAGTTCACTCCATCTGGGGCTTGAGATTTGGAGGTGAAAATCATTTATTCTCCCCTTTATTTGTTCTTCTGCATGCTCATATCTCTCAGAGGCCCTTCTCCTCCTCCTAGGCCTCTGTTTCACTGATTTCTTACCAGACTCCTTCCTAGCAGGGCTCAGCACCATGACAGGGGTGCAATGCTCAAATGCATCTTCTGACATGTCATGCAAGATGGCAGATCTAGACAAAGCAGCAGGCAAAGGATAGGAAATGGGAATGGAGAGGAATGCCACGGGAAAACAGAGAGAGAGAATGATGAACAGGATAGCATGGACCAGAAGTTGGTAAATAAAGATCAAATGAAGAAAATGCACTAAAGGAAAAAAAATTAAGCCACTATAAATTAATGGACAATGTAAGGCAGAAGCGAGAGCCACACAGCTTCAGAATGTCAAACAAGAATACAAAACACTGTTCTAAAGATTTTTGAATAGGATCATTTGCTGAGCACTTACCTGCAGATGTCCTGAGTGGATGGACAGACAGACAACCTTGACTGGCTCCTGGGAGCTGTCCCTGTTGTTGGGCTGCTTGCCTGGAGAAACAAGTTAGATAATTTGGCATCTTGGTTAAGGTAATACATGGTTGATATCTTGCTTTTTTTCCACATATTTAAAAAATTACAACAAACGTGGCTGCCGGTCATGTTGTTCACAAAGCAGCTCACAGAATATAGGAAGTTAGAGGGTTGGTTTTGCAAAAGTAAAACTAATTTGAGGAACTTGGAACAGCTGAGATGCTGTACCACTTTGCTATTGCTTCATTTATGAGAGAGGAAGATGATTCCACAAGTTTCCATTCTGTTTACTGTAAACATTTGAGTGGAATGGCTGAATTGGCTTTGGAAACAAGTGGGTAACTCTCAGATATCCTATGACATTACGGACATAAAGGCTATTATGTGACGAGGATAATAATAATACGGGAAGCCTAAATAATCAAATAGCCATTAGATGGCTAGATACTGCCTGGAGTTAACATTAAGTCACATCAATACATTTTATGATAATATATTTGAAAACACTTCGTAATGGTTAAAAGCCTGAAGTTTTTGTGATTATTTCGTCATTGAAACTGATAAAATCTATCCATTGCAACATTATTGATCTTTCATATCTTTTAACCCTGTGACCATGCTGATCCTGGGAATAAGAGAGCCTGAAATAATTCAGATTGTTAGTACAAAGTTGAGTACATTTCACTAAACTCCTACCTTTGAAACACAGCATTTTCTTCACTCTGACTTCTTTAACCTATTGTATTTAATACAGATGATGATGATCAATCAAAAGCTAGAATATATTGAGAATTTACTGTGTGCCAGGCATTGTGCTGTGGCTTTATCTACCATCTCTTTAATCCTTACAATAATCTCACAAGTGGGAAGTAACAGTTTTGAGGGAATATTATGTGCCAATCACTGTTTAAGTAATTTTCTTATGTTCATTTGTTAATACTCACAAGAAATGTAGTGGTAAATACTATATATTTTTTCCATATTACAGATAAGGAAACTGAGAAATTGATGTTGCTTCTTACTAGTAAGTGTTAGAACAGAGGTTTGGATGAGGAATCTTACTCCTCCATCTGTTCTTTTATCCACATGGCAAAACACATCACCTCCTTTACACAGGAGGAATCCCAAGGAGTCCTGGGTCCAGATTCAAGCCAATCTGACTGCACAGATGAAATACACAATTTTGCCACCAAGAAAATAACAGTAAAGGTAGAAAGATTAACTCCAAATTTCTAAGTAGTTTTAAAAATTCCTATACTAGAGACATATACAAATGACTGTGGGATCCAGAGAAAGAGAATCTAATTCTAATTAAAGAGGTCAGAAAAACTTTCAAGAGGAGGTGTGGTAGGCTGAATAATACATGACTCCTTCCCCAAGATGTCAACATCCTAATCCCTGAAATTTGTGAATATGTTTCCCTACATGACAAAAGGGACTTTGCAGATATGATTCAGTTAAGGATCTTGACATGGGGAGATTTATCCTGGGTTATCTTGGTGGGCTCAATGTAATCATGAGGATCCTTAGAAAAGGGAGACAGTAGAGTTAGGGTCAGAGAGAGAAGATGGAAGGGAGGCAGCAGAGGTCAGAGAGGAAGGAAAATGCTACACTTCTGAATTGAAGAAAAAGGCAGGACGCCCTGACCAAGAAATGCAGGTGACTTCTAAAAGCGGGAAAAGGCTAGAAAATGGGCTCTTGTCTAGAGCTTCCAGAAAGAATGTAGCCTGCCAACATCTTGATTTTAGCTCTGTGAGACCCACGTTTGACTTCTGACCTCCAGAACTATAAGATAATAAAGTTGTGCTGTTTTAAGCCAACAAGTTTTGTGGTAATTTGTCACAGAATTCATAGGAAACTAATATAGGAAGTGACACTTCAGCTAATCTTAAAAGGCAAGTAGGAGTTATTAAAGAAGAGATTAAAAATATTCCAGGCAGAGGAAACAGTGGGCCAAAAAGGAAGGATGACTTTCTCAACATGCTCCAATAGACTGATTTACTTCTGACTTACAATTTTCTTAGTCTTTTCTATCAATCCATGAACAATGTGTATTTTTAAAATCTTTGAACATCACCTTTGAACACCAGTCCATATTTGATTATCTTCTTCAATATTTGTATCAAAACTCGCTTATTTCAAGTTCTTTTAAAATTTAGATCAACTTCATCTCTGCATCCGTTGAACATGTATATAGCCAATTTTTGTAACATTTAAGCACTTCTGTACTCTAAGCAGTAAGCAGTAAGTTTTGACAGATTGTGCACCACTTATCCCACGTACATCCACTGAGATTAGTAGGGAGTTCTGCATACAGCAGGCGCTGAGCAAAGGCCATGTGTGAAGTTCACTACTCATTCTCTTTATAAAAAAGCAATGCAGCCCAAGAGTGACTTCAAATCAGTGATGATTTTATTATGAATGTGAACCATAATGGGATGTGCTACTCGATGATGTGTTGAAGCCAATTCTATGAAGCTGTACAGGCAAAGATGTTAAAACAGACATAATCATCACAAAACAAATTTTATAATCCACAGGCCTGAACAAATGTATGTTCTACTGATTTATCAGTGAATAATAACACAGAACATCAAAAAATCTGTGCCTTCCCTTTGAAGAATTTTTTGGTCCACCATGACACTGATCAAGTAGTGTTTATGTCTACAACCTTTAAGTACTGTGAGGAGAACAGAAATCATTCCTTGTTGCCTATCGAGAGTCTTCACATAGCTCCTATCCAATATTAGTTTATACATGTTCAGTTTGCCCGTGGGCTACTGTAGCAGATGCTGTTAATGTCCACCCTGTACCCTTGGTCCTACTCTGAGTTCATTTGCACGCTGACTGCTTCCAACTTGAGCACCTGAGCTTCTTGGGTTCTCTGCCTTGGGTCTTTTCTGGTACTACATGCTCTTGTTTAGCTGCCCATTGGCACAACAGGGAAGTATGGGACAAGTTAAAACCCCTGGGGATAACTCTTGGATTGGAATCAGTCAATAAATGTTCTAGCTTTTCCATTCTCCCAAAGAGTAGTTCTGAGGTGCTGTCCAGAGTTTCTCAAAATGTCCCGAGCTGGATCAAGGCCCAGCTGTTTCCAGCTCATCAACACACCCTTAACTGGCATTCCCCTTTCTCTGTTTTACTTTTCCCATGCCTGTAGTGCTTCCCAGGATGATCTCCCAGGAAAACTACCTGCATCCAACTAAGACAGCATCTAAATTAAGACTGGGATCTATTCGACCAGCTGCTTTAACCCCAGCTTGTGTCATTTTTGATTCATTTGCTCAGCAAACATGAATTAAAGGTCTATTATATAATAGATACTATGGTGAGTTCTGGGAATAAAGGAACAGATGGCATCCTGAAGGGGCTTCTTGTTCAGTGGAGAAGAGATGTAAATGAACAGGCAATTTTAATGCAGTCTAGTATACCCTGATAGAGTCTAGTAATGGGAGTTCTGATGAAGGAAAGGCACCTAATGCAGAATGGAGCAGAGATTTAAAGTAAGTGTCCCAGAGGAGATGACTCCTGACCTAGAAAGGGTGAGTATGAGTAAAGTGGAGGAGTGCAATCCAGACAGGGAAAAGGATGTGCAAGAGCACAGGGTAGAGAGAACGTGGCTTGTTATGGGAACCACAGAAAGTTTTGTAACGACTGGAGGGATGGTGTTGAGGGAGATAAGAAGTCATACAGAGTCAGGATAAAGGAGCAGACAGAGGGCCCGTATGCCTGATTGAAATGTTTGGGTTATATCCTCAAATGAATGGAAAGTCATTGGCAGATATTCAGCAGCAAATGGAAATGATTAAATTTGGGCACTGGAAAGCTCACTTTGGCAGCTGAGAATCGAAAGATCCAGGACTGACTGAAAGCAGGGAGAAGATTAGGATTCAGTATATCCAGGATACAGAGGGGACTGAGAAAAGAGATAGTTTAAGCAATACAATCCCAACTGGTCGTTTTATTTTCAAATGTGATAAAAATTATTTGAAAGATCAGCTAAAAAAAGTAACATGGGGAAACATCTAGGAAAATTCTTTAATAAAAGCTAAGTGGGATCAGGGGTTATAGTACTTTCACCAGATATCAAAACATAGTATGAATCTTCAGGAATTGGAAGAATATGTGGGTGGCAAAGGAAAAGACACCTCATTAGAATAGAAATCTATTATCTATCTAATCTATTATCTATCTATCTATTTATCTATCTATCTATCTATCATCCATCTATCACCTCTCTCGCTATACCTTAGTACATAATAATGTTGCATTTCAAATCAGTGGAAAAAGGATAGATTATTAAATAAACAGCATGGGGAAAAATGACTAGTCATTCAGAAAAATGTAAAGCTGGATCGCTTTCTTACTGCTTACAGTAAAGTTTAGGTGGATGAAAGGCTTAAATGTAATAAAATAAACCATAAAAGTATGAGAAGGAAACATAACTGAATATGTTTATAATGTTGCGGAAGGAAATCCCTTTCTTAGGGTGACAGGAAACAAAAAATTAACATAGAAAAAGACAGATAAGCATAATAATTTAAAAAGTAAAAACTTCTAATTTATAAAAAAGAAACATACACTCACACACTAACACTACCCCACACAAAACTCAAAGTCATAAATAATACTATATTTCATAACATATATGATAGCCAAACAGCTAATTTCTCTAGTATTCAGAGATCTTTTACAAATCAAGAAAGAAAAGTTGATTGATCTTAGCGAAAGTGAGTAAAATACACAGACAGGTAGTTCACAGAGAAGGAATTATACACAGCCAAAAACCATGTGTAAAAAGACGCTTAATCTCAATAAAATGCAAGTAAATGCTAATTCAGTTAACAATGGTATTTATTCTCACTTATCAATCAGCACATTTAAAAAAGATTGAAAATATCCAGTGTGCCTGAGGTTGGGGAAATCAAGCACTGTCATACTTTGTTGAAGTAATTGTAAATTGGCACAACTTATTTGGAGGGCAATTTGGTAAACTCTATTAAAATAGAAAATGTCTATGCTGTTCAATCAGAAATTCTACTAATAGGAATCATTTTGCTAAAACACTTGCACAATTGCCCAAAGATATGTTCATTATAACAAGCATGTTCATTATAGCGTTGTTTGTAATAGCAAGAAATTAGAAACAATCCAAATGTTTAGTTATTTACCATGAAATACATAAGCCATTAAAAAGAATGAGATACACCACACGCACACATATGCAGACTCATACACACACATTTGT